GAAAATAGGAGGAGGGAGGTTGGGGTGCCCTCGGCCGTATGGAGATGATTGGCGGGCCGCGTTTGGCCCACGGGCCGCCAATTGAATAGCCCTGATCTAGAGAGTAGCCTATAGCACACTGAAAAAAAGTGCTCGACTTGGCGACCCATACAAAATCTCCCGCGACCCACTTGGGGACCCACCACGACCCACTTCGCCTTTGGGAATGACTGGTTTAGGAGGTAATTTCCATTTTTCAGTGAATGTCTGGGGAATATCAAAAACAAGACTAACTTTACCCCGCTTAGAAGCTGCGCGGTGTGTACAAAACACACTCAACAAAATATAACTATATTGTGCGTGTTACAGAAAACATAAAAGCATTATTAACATTATTAATAATACTTACAGATTGTGATTCGGAGGAGGACGAACCTGATCCATATACACTGGATACTGAGCCCTCCTTCGGGAACAACCGGCTTGCGAATCCACATTTGAATTCATTTATGTTTTTGAATGATTCGTCATTAAAATGATGAGAACACAAGGTTCGGGCTATATTGTTGTGGTATCGTTGCAAATATGAACTCTAAGGCCGTGTGTCCATCAAAGCGTTTTTAGCCAGCTGAAAACTCTAGACGCTCTGCTGAAGACGCCGTGCTTTGGGCGCTTGAGAGCGTTTTGGCAGCGCAGCGTTTTTTTCCGTTGAGACGTTTCATTGCTATGATACAGAATATCCGCAGCAGTTTGAATGTTGACAGTTGGTCAGTGTGGTATTAGTCCCGCCCCTCCTTCACTGTGATTGGACGGCTGGGTAAAAAGTGACAGTGATGAGCGCTGCGTTTTATCCAAAGTTGAACATTTTTCAACTCCCAGCGACCAGTAAAAACGCCGGGCGCTTCAGCGTGAAAAAAACGCTCAGCGCCTCTGTACGCTCATGGCGTTTAAAAAACGCGGCACTCCCATTGAAAACAATTGAAAACATACGCCAGACGCGTGGAAAAACGCTTTGGTGGACACAAGGCCTAACCAGTTGATTTTTCACATGCTCATCCCTGGGCAATGAAAACAAGTGGCTGAACTGTCTTTGCAATGTAGAACACAGCGTCTTCTCGACATGAAGCTATTCAGCTGAAGTATTTGAATGTGTTCTAGACTTCAAGTTTACACTTCCATCTGCGCGCACAGTTGTTGGGAGCGGCCAATGAGCTAATGTTTCGTACGCCTGGCGTATGTTTTCAATTGTTCTCATTGGGAGCACAGCCCCTTTTAAAAGCCATGAGCGTAACGATGCGCTAAGCATTTTTTTTCACGCTGAAGCGCCGAGCGCCCAGCGTTTTTTACTGGTTGCCGAGAGTTGAAAAATGTTCAACTTTGGATAAAACGCAGCACTCATCACTGTCACTTTAGAACTGTCCAATCACAGTGGAGGGGAGGCGGGACTAATACCACACCGACCAACTGTCACAACATTCTTTCTGTACAACGACATCAACTGGCAGAGCTAATTGAACAAAGTGGATGGAAAAAAATTTTTAGTATGAAACAAATTATCTGCGAAATCAGTTACAAAGTAAACTGTGCTGCAGATATTCTGTATCATAGCAACGAAACGTCTCAACGGAAAAAAACGCTGCGCTGCCAAAACGCTCTCTGGGCGTTTTTTCAGCAGAGCGTCTAGCGTTTTCAGCTCCGTAAAAACGCTTTGGTGGACACATTTGGTGGAAATATTTTGTTTGATTCAACTTAGAATGTATTACACAAAGTTTAGGCTACAGGGCAATTTTTTTTCAGAAGCTGCATCTGAATTGATATATTTCAGTAGATAAATATTAACATTTTGTCCTGAGACTCAAGATTCGCAGGGTAGGCAGTCCAACTAAAAATGTTCCGTTGTCTGCCAAGGTCAGAGGGGTTACTGACGGCCGAAGGTAGGGTGTAGGGTATAGTTTATCGTTTGGTATTTAGCATTGTGTAGGAATTCAGCAATTTGATAGGCAAGACCAGTGAAATCTTTAGAATAGCCCAATTTTGTAGCTCCCACTCTGGAGATCTCCAGGCTGCAGCTATAGGCTATGTGCACAACCGTAGTTTCTAACTTCCGCTTTTGTCAGAAGTTGGCCTATCAGTTTCCGGTCTACGACTGGTCATCCGCATCCACCAATAAACAAACAAGGTGAGTGCTGCTGTTGTACGAAAAAAATAGTTCTTAAACACATCTAAGTTTCTAAGAACTGCAGTGGATCTAACGTCCGTTTCACACCCGTTTGCAGTGTGTGTTGCGGTGCAGGAGCGTGCTGTTAGTGCGTTCACATAGGCTATTATGATACGTTTGCACAGTGAATAACTGGTCCGCGGCTGTACAACAAACACATACTTAATATTTTTATTTAAAGTCCAGAAGTTATGCTGCAACTTATTTTTAAAAACAAAAAGTTGTGTCAGCATTGCGATTCTTTGAATGCACGTTTAAACACAATCTAAACAAAGTTAGGGCTATTACTCCATGCACTACAAGTTGCTCAGTCAAATATTTCCTATATTAAAATCGCAAATAATTTAAATTAAAACTTGAAATTGACAAAAGCAGCCGACTTGCCTTTTCTTTTGCATCTTAATTTTAAAACAATAGATCTTGCATGTCACAAAACTTATTTTTCCACCTCCACGATCGAGACGAGTTCATTCTGTCGCCTGGTTGAAGTAAATTGTAGTTTTCCTTGATTAAATGTGCATTTATGGTGAGATGAGATTACTTCATTTTATTTAATTAAACGCATTTATGACGCATTTACGCGTGAAATTACTACATTTTCAGGTCAATCTTTATCATTTTGACCACCAGCGTTTGCAGCACAGCAGAAATAGATTCACTGTTATATGTACACTCTAAAAAATGCTGGGTTGTTTTAACCCAATTTTGGGTCAAATATGGACAAACCCGAAATGTTGGGTTAAAAATGTAATGTAAAAATTTAACCCAACGGCTGGGTTAGTCCATATTTGACCCAAAGTTGGGTTAAAACAACCCAGCATTTTTTAGAGTGTACCACATCAGTGAAAAGTGAAAGCCCTAACCTGTTTACATGGTGCGTTAGGAGACTGCTGTGCGGCACTTGCTCTGCTTCAAGTCGCTAACAGCCATTTGAGCTTCTACTGCTTCCTGATAAACACCAACCTTCGTGCGCAGACAAAAGCGGAAGTTCGAAACTACAGTTGTGCACATAGCCCATACCCTTCTTGATTTTTCAGTGACTTCAATGGAGGTTACTTTATGCTGAATCTGACACTTCACTTCATAGAGATCAATGCATTGAACAGCACTGACACCCGTCATGTGAAACATAAAGGATGCTATGACAAAGATATTTCATCAGCAGACATGGCAAACTCATTTTTTTTTTACAAATGTATGAATTGACCCAGAGAACAGACTTGTGCAAAATAGGGGATTATCACGCTTCCGGGTTTCATGGGCGGGATTTGTCATCTTTGTGCATGTTCACTACCGACGCAGTTCAACAATGGCTGAGACGAAGGCTATATATGTCACTGCTCTGTTCCAATTTGTAAATCTAACCAACAACGCCAACCCTACGTAAGTTTTCATGGATTCCCGACTGAATTGAGTATAAGGAAGAAGTGGATTAAAACTTTAAAATAAAACAAGGTAGCACATTTGTTTGCTGCCGGCACTTTAGTGAATCAGACTACTTTACCAGGGATGCCGTATAAATAAACTTAGTGTAGTCCTTCATCAGTTCTCCAGCGAGATCGGTGATTCAACGGAAGTGGCAGTGCACAAAGATCACAGAATCCGGAAGTCCTACGTATCAGCGTGATAATCCCCTATTCAGAATTTGCATACAATTCATGAATTGGAATTTGAATTGAATTGACTCCGCCCCACAGGAAGCTGAATTTGAATTGAAATGACAGGAAGTGGAATTAAATTCATGGCAATTCAAAGAAATTCCACACAGTCACACAACAGAAAGAATGTGTTGAATCTCACATACATTCAGGGTTAGGAAGGTTACTTTGGAAATGTATAAATGTGGTATGTATATGTGTATATATATATATATATATATATAATTTAAAACTGTGATTTTCTATGTGAATATAGTGAAGTGTAATTTATTCCTGTGATCAAAGCTGAATTTACAGCATCATTACTCCAGTCTTCAGTGTCACTTGATCCTACAGAAATTATTATAATATGATGCTCAAGAAACATTTATGATTATTATCCATGTTGAAAACAGTTTTTTTACATTTTTATTTCAGGATTCTTTGATGAATGGAAAGTTCAAAATAAAAGAATTGATCTGAAATGGAAAGCTTTTGTAACATTAATCACTACCATTCAAAAGTTTGGGGTCAGTAAGATTTTTTTTTTATTTTTGGGGGAAAGAAATTAGAAAATACTTCTATTCATCAAGGATGAGTTAAATTGATCAAAAGTTACAGTAAAGACATTTATAATGTTAGAAAAGATTATATTTTAAATAAATGCTGTTCTTTTGAACTTTCTATTCATCATAGAATTTTGGGGGGAAAATGGTACATGACTGTTTTCAACATTGAAAATAATAATTTATTTTTTTTGAGCATAAAATCAGCATATTAGAATGATTTCTGAAGGATCATGTGACACTGAAAACTGATGTGTAATCAGCAACAGTAATGATGTTGAAAATTCAGCTTTCAAATTACATTTTAAAATATATTAAAATAGAAAACAGTCATTTTAAATTGCCATAATATTTCACAATATTACTGTTTTTTTCATCAAATAAAGCAGCCTTGGTGAGCAGAAGAGACTTCATTTAAAAACATAAAAAATCTTACTGATCTAAAACTTTTGACCGGTAGTGTCTATATATATATATATATATATATATATGCCAGAGGGGTTACTGACGGCCGAAGGTGGGGTCTTTTCGCTTTCGCTATTTTCCATTTTTCAGTTTGATAAAAACCTCTGATTTTGGTTTGTGTATTGATGTGTTCAGGTGTGTCGTTCATCCATGCGCTATCTTGCTCTGATGATGTCAAGGCCTGTGCTCAGACTGAAAGAGATCAACCCTCTGCTCTTTAACTTTGTGGAGGAGCTGGTGGAGATCAGAGTGAGTTTCCACAAAACAACTGATTACAAGTTTACAACTGATTACAACTGATTACTGATTACACCTCCCCACCCTACCTTAAAATAGTGATTTTTCACCTGTTCACATTCTGAGGTTTAGACTTTCTTGACTGTAATCAACAATTCAATCATGCTACATTATCATGATTTTGACAGTCCATTGATATCCAGTAAATTATTCCAAGAATATAACTTTTTTTCAAATTATGTAAACCTGTTTTGTTTGTTTAATTTATGACGTATATGAGCAGAATATTTGCTGAATTTATCATTCTTGCACTGCAGAAATTACGTCAAGATATCTTGCTAATGAAGCCATATTTCATCACCTGCAAGGAGGCCATGGAGGCCCGACTCCTGTTGCACGTAAGTGATTTAAGATACAACTCATTTTTAGGCCCTGTCCCAAATGGCACCCCTACCCCCTTTCAGTTGTCTTTCGAGTTTACACTTTAGTGGCATAAGGGTGTATAACTCAGACAGAAGTCTGCGGTGGAGCCTGCATCATCGCAAACTTGTCAATGCATCCGGGACACAAAGGGGACACACTAAAGCCTTTACGCACACACAACAGTGTTTCTTAAAGGTGCCATAGAATGCATTGATACAATATTGTGAAAATTCTCCTGATACAGTTTTACATGTCCATTTGTCCCTAGAATGAAATGGGCTGTTATTACCTTTTTTGGAAGGGTCATTAATAATAATGTTGAGCTCTGCACTGATTGGCTGTTTTACAGATTTGTATGAGCTGTGATGTACTCTGAAATACAAACGTGCAAAATAATAATACATCAGTTCTCAAACAAACAAAAAAATATTACAAATAACAAATTGACTAGATGCACTGTCAAATGACAATCATTTCAACTTAAGTGGTGGAAAAGGTCAGGTTAGCTAGAAGGAGTGAGTGAGCTATCTGTAAGCAACCAAACTAACCTAGTTAGCTCCTGAGTTATGCGTTGTTGATGAAATATAGGCTAAAGTATAATACTACCCAACAAAAGGGATTATCCAGAGCCGGCCCGAGGCATAAGCGAACCAGGGGGCCCCCTAATCGGGGTTATTATTTTTTTATTTTATTTTTTTAGATTACTTAAACAAGTGACATAAATCAATGAATGAATGAATGAATCATTCAAGACAACAAAACTCTGATTTAATGATCAATATACCTGCCTACAAGTTACAACTGCTGCTGTGTCTGCCAGCATTTAAGTCATGCGCATAATCCTCTAGACACCTCGCGCGTCTATAGACAATTTGTGCGCAACTGCGCCTAGTCACGGTATCGGTATTGGAGAAAACAGCCCGCAGTCTGACCCCGCAGTGTTGGAGTCAGAAGAGGGCGGGTCTTTTGGCAGAGAGTTGCGTCCACCTCTGAAACGAAAGCGTATGCAAAAGTAACAACGAGAGTGTGAGGAAACAAATACTTCGCTGGAAAGTGTCAGTGGCAATGAGTAGCCTAAATAAGTTATAATAAGAAATAAGAGAGAGAGATATTAAATACATGTTTAATAATAAAAATGTGAATGTTGTGGAGAAAAATAACTTGCTTAACAAACCCAGAGAATTCCATAGGCTATACTATAGAATTAACAATAGCCTATGTCTGAATACATAAATAATAAATAGATTTTCTTACCAATAATACAAATAGTCATATCAACAGACATAATTTTACATAGACCCACACATAAATAAATAAGGATTTTACAGTAGGCTATGGATAATACTAATAGCCTAATTATAATGAAATCAATTTCACAAGAAGTAGAGTAATTAATTTGCCCGTGGTTGCATTTTAGTGTCTTTGTTTCCATGATGAGTCTAGAGAACATGCGACTCAAAGCAGCAGACTGGCAGCAGGCTGTGACCTATGGCCGTGACAGACAAATCCTTGCTTTTAAAGATATAGGCCTATGTTTTTTGTTGTTGTTGTTTTTTTTTCTTTGGAAAATAAATATATAAAATTAATATATAGAGCTTGGTAGACAGGTAACCTATTTGTTAATGTTATTAAACAGATTAATAAATTTAAACATTATAATTTGCATTATTAAATATTAATCATATATGCATACTAAATTGTGATCCTATCTGTTATACACACTTTATGGCAATTAAAAGAAAGTTTTAAAAGTGCTACATTATTTAAATAAAAAATAGACATACAATTACATAACAATTTCAAAATCAAATTCAAAATCAATTTTAGTAAATAAAAACAATCCATGCATAATTGTCAAAAACATGATTAATGGTTCTGTAATCCCTAACATATACAGAAGAGTTTATATAAGTAAATAAGAGTAAAATAATAAAATGTAAAATAATAATATAAAATGTTTTCTGTTGCAAGCTCACATACAGTACTTGATCTCATTTTTTCTCGTGGTTTATTGTTGAGCTGTCAAGTTGGCATGTTGAAATAATCAGTTCCATACACTTGACACATTTTTTTTTTAATTTAATTTAATTATTTATTTATCTCTTGTATGGGTGTCCCTTATTTTGCCTCACTGAAGGTGGCAACCCTTAATGGAGGTCAATATTTTACAATCAGAGTTTTGAAGTGCTATGGGTCTATATGAACTGCACTAGGGTCTTTTCCCTCCTTATGAATAACCAAAATTATTGTCTCTTTCCAATTTGGTGGGAATTCCCCCATTTCAAATGCATAAGCTTAGGCTTTCTCTAGAATAGGACTTATGTCATCTACAAAAGTTTTATAAAATTCGTTATAGTATCCATCTGAGCCCGGACTTTTTCCGTTTTTTTAACCCCTTGTTTGTCTCCACAATTTCTTCTCTTGTAATGGGTCGATCTATTGCTTGTTAGTCTTCCTCTGACAACTTTGGAAGGTTTATGCCCTCTAAGTAGGCATCGATTTTTTTCAAATTCTGTGCAGGTGTCCATATTTGAGTACAGTTTCTTATAAAAAGTGGCAAAAGCTCCTGATATCTCATCCTGTTTATACAGAAAGAGCTTATCTGAGTCATTATTTTTGTATGACTGTTAAGCTCATCTGTTTTTTTAAGTTGGAATTCTAATACTCCCATGCTCATAATAGCACTGTTTTAAGAATCTCAAATTTCTCTCAGTAATATCTGTGAGCAAATCTCCCAAGGCCATCCTGGCTTCAATAAGCCGAGTTAGATTGTTTGTAGATAGTTGACTTTTATGTCTCTGTTCTAAGTGTTTATTCTTCGAGTTCTTTACATTTGGCTTCTCTAATTCTCGCCTTAGCTGATGCGAATGAGATTATCTTTCCCCTCAAAACTACCTTGGCCGCCTCCCACAAGATCACTGGTGATGTCTCACTCGTATCGTTAAAGTGAAGATATTGAGCAAATTCTTCCTTTATATGATCTTTAAATGTATTATCATTTAGAAGTGATACATTTAGATGCCATAGGCTTGGATTATAACCTCTACCCAAATCCCAAATCAAACTAACTGGGGCATGGTCACTTAAGGCTATGTTATGTATTTTACAATCCAGGACTCTGTAAGAGTCATTTTTAGCGACAAAGAAATAATCAATCCTGGAATATGAGGAGTGTGGGTTTGAATAGAATGTGTAATCCTGGTCTCTTGGGTGTATATGTCTCCATGTATCGATAAGACCCAGATCCTCCATCATTTGCTTTAGAATCCTACTGGCCCCTGAAGGTGCAGCAAATGATGGTGGGTTTTTATCCATTCTATTTGACAAAATGTAATTTAAATCCCCTCCAATCAAAATGATTCCGTTAGCTTTTTCTATAATCATTTCACAAATTTTTAGGGGTGCTCCGATCAGGATTTTTGGGGCCGATCACCGGTCACCGATTACTGGAAGCTGTATCACCCGATACCGATCACCGATTACAGAATCTATTTGAAGCCTTCTATTTATCATGTAGCATTATTATTAAATGTAGCAAATGCAACATTTAATAATATACATAAAATGTATTTAAGGGGGCCGAAGGCCAATTTAGCTCAAAGGGAAATGATTCATTGATTTGCAATGAATCTATGGAACCGAATCACTGAACCGAGCAAATGACTCGCTTAGAATTCATTTGAACGGGCCGTAATTATAACCAAATCTATAGTGAAACACTATGTCTTAGCAAGGTAACTAGATCGAACAGTACAAGACATTAAATGTGCAAACACGACACAAGAAGATTTATCTTTTCAAATATATGGAAGACTTTATTAGCTATTCTAAACACAACTAAACATAATCACGCACACACACACACATTCATACAGTCGCGAAAGGGAAAGAGTGAGTTGGAAAGAGTGAGAGAAAGTTTCAACTTTCTATATGCACGTAAGACATAACTTGAAAGGACCACCAAGCATTAATTTGAACCTTCATTTCTTAGAGAGGTTATTCAATTAACATTAAAGCACCAGTTCAGTTAGAGCCTGGAGTACTTGCGCTTTGTAGTGGCTGAGGGAATTCCCTTTGTCTGCGTCGCGTCGAAGGGGGGTTTCCCGGCCGGGTCCGTTGCGTGGTTTGTTGTCTTTGAAGTGCAGGGATGGAAGTTTCGCCGCTGGTCACGTGTGATTAGCAAGCGAATGAGAGTCTTTTCCAATTCGAAGCGCGTTGCAAACTTAACTTTGAAACGAGACTTTTACGAAAAAGGAAAGAAAGGAAAGAAATGAAAGTGAGGCGAGTCGGATGGCTTGACTGAGCTGAACTGTAACCCTGATCTCGATGGATTATTCGTCTGCTGGTCGAATTTGGTCTAGTCGATGTAGAAGCATGCGGACATGTTCTTTGTTTCAGAGATAAGCACGAACAGAACACTCTCTTGCTGGTTTTAGAGAAAGGCACTAACTTAACAGTTACAGAACTGAACGAACTGAACAAAAATCTGACAAAAATCTAAACAAAAATCATCTGAAATCTTCAAAAATCTACAAAAATCTGATCATGAGGTCCTTTGTTCGGATCTTTAACTTAAACTCTAGTCCAACCTCCAAGAAACTTCAGGCCAATGGGTAATGGCATGATCTCAGGAGGTGGATCTACTTCTTTCTTTATCATAATTTATGCATGGTCTGTGAGCTGGTCTCCAGCACTTAGTAGAGACAAAAGACCATCGTTTTAACCTTATGATAATTATAATCATAAAACAAAACCTTTTACGCAGATTTCAATCAAGCCATCTTTTGAATTACGAGAATACGGTTCGTTTAAGAGCAAACGAGGCATTCACACTTCTAATGGTTGTATAACAATAACAAGAGTTAATAGTTAACAACAATTACATGGTTATTATGTGATCTAAGCATAATAACACATGAAGTGTAGGAACAACAACAATTATGATTGGTTATAGGTCCAAGAATTGTTCTGTGGT